GGTGTCAAGGACACCAGGTGCTTTCTGGGCCCCTGAAAGTCCATGATACAGTGACAGATAGAAAGATAATAGCAAGTAAAAGCATGCCAAGTACACTGCATGTTTTTTAGCACAGCCAATTCCAAGAGGCAACCTTCCTTGAAGTTCCAGCCTCAACCCACGGAGGATCTCATGCGGGCTTCATTGGAGATGGCGTGACAACTAGGTATGAGAAAAGCAATGTATGGTTCATTGGGCCAGATAGAACTGCGTTCATCAGAGATTTAAAGAACTTAATTTACTAGGGACCTCCAGATTGGTATGGAACTTTAGTGGCTTTGCTGAGTCCCTTAGTGGGGCAGGATCTTTATGAAGTAGGAGAGACTTTGGCAGGTCTAAGTGACTTGGACCAGCATGTAAAGTGTGTCCGTAAAATAGGAGACCAACCTAGAAGAGACAGGAAAAAGACAAAGCAGGGAAAGAGATCTGTTTAGGTTACTCAAAGGCAAATGTGGCAAGGTTTATGTTGAGTTCAAGTTCCTAAAGAAAAAAGACAACCCCCCACCACCAAATTCTTGTGCTAAGGAGCTTCTGGAAGGCTTTAAATCCTGAGGAGCAGTTCACAGAAGGCACCCATAATAAAACAATACAGGTGCAAAAGATAAAAACTGTCCCAAGGATGGATGAAATTAGTGTACTTTTCCCTCCTGCAAAAGGTTATGCTGTGGGGAGACAATTTGATCAGCCATCCAGGGCCTCCCACAGCCTCCAGGTGTGGATGATGGAGAGACAACAGGTGTGGCTACAGCCACGGGTCAGACCACTTGTCTCAGGGAACCCGAGGGGCCCTATTCTTCCTTGGCCCTGTGCAGGGTTGGGCATCTTGAGCTAGCTTCAATGAGCTTGTCAAGGATGGAGAAACAGAGGGAGGCTCCATGTAAGAATACCAGGATACTGAATAACTCAAAAAAAGTCTAGATAGTCTAGAGCTAAGTTAATGCCTCGTACCCATGCTATATTGCACCCACCATGGAGCTGTTGAGAAAACAATGGATACAAAGGGATAAATCTTTGTTTTTGTTTGATTTAGTACACAGCATTAACCTCTGAGTGTTTTGCAGATGTAGAACCCATTTGAGAGCTATCAAACAAGGGCCATGTGTAGCTGTGAAATTCTTGGGAGTTTTATGATTGGGCAAGGCACAATTGATCTGCACCAGGATGGTTGGGAAAAGTCTACAACAGCCTGGGTCTGTAGATGCCATAGAGTAAACAGATATCTTCTATAAATAAAAACAGAGGCTCCCAGAAACT